CAGAGACCTGCCTGGAAATGGTATCGATATTCTTCAAGCCTAATTCAGTGCCTTTCAGACATTCTGTTATCCAGTTGTTTCCTAAAACATCTTGGATGAGTGCCACTAATTTTAGACAAGTTACTGAATCTGTTTGTATCTGAGTCTCCACATCTAGAAGAGGGAGACTTGTAAAGTAAAGGCTCGTCTTGTCTTGAGACCAATATAAGTGTGTGCAAGAAGCCAGCACAAGCCTGTAGGGCTCAGTAACTCCCCAATACCACATTGCTTCGGGATGTTTCTGAACCTTAGAATTCTGCAACTGGCTGGTGACAATTGCTGTCTTTTTACAGCCAATGGTAAATACTTCTATTTATTAGGCTATCCAGCCTACAATAAGAATTATGAAATTTAAAAAGTTTCATGGTTTTAAGTTTAAGTTATCCTAATTTCTTCTAAGAATCATGAAATAATTGTAAGATGTTTTCCCAATTTTTGACTGATGTATAAAAATAGTGTGCACAGTTAGGCATGAAATAATTGTAAGATGTTTTCCCAATTTTTGACTGATGTATAAAAATAGTGTGCACAGTTAGGCTGTTATTGATAAAAGAAGAGACCTGAAAAATCACAGCGCATGGAGTGGATGGACTCCTAGTAGGGAATCTATGAACCTTGAAAGAGCTGAGAGCTCCTGATTGTTTGTTATACAAATACAATTATTCATTCAGTCTCCTCCCCGCCAAGACTACAAATCTACACCTCAGCCTCAGTGTCCCCTTCTGAGCTCTTCTGCCCAGACAGTCCACATTAAGCAGGGCTGAGTTCCTCAGTCTCAGATGGGCACCTGAGAGGCAGCCTCCTTGATGCCGGGCTCTAGATGCCATGGGTCTTCATGCAGCTGTCTCCATGGAATGGCTGAGTCTAAACTCTGATTCTCAGCACTCATTCATCACCTTTCAGGCCGCTTCCTGCCTTAGGTCAGAGACAAGAGGGCCCCCGCCTATGAGACAATAATCTGATTCAAATTATTTCTCCCTCTGTGTATGACTGGAAAGATTATGCTAAAATAATGAGTAATTTCTTTCATGCATGTGATTGTTAGTTATTGAATACCAATTTTTAGCAAAAAATCTGGCACAGAGAGGAGGTGGATTTTCTTTGGCTCCAAGCTACTTCTCCTGGAGGTCATCATGTAGCTTTAGAAGACTATCTAAGTGAGCTGTGTCTGCTTGTCCCATGAGGACCCACACAGCAGGGAGGAGAACTAACAATGATTAATCTGTTCTCATAAACTTACAGGTCCCTGGAAGATGTTTGCGTTTTTCTCTTTCCTTAATTTTTCAAAGATTTCATTTTTCCCCACCATGAAAGGAAGCTCATATTTGTGTATAGTTTATATGGAGATTTCGTGCAGTCATACATGAGAATGTGATACAGTTTCTGGCTAGTGGTGTAATATACTGGGACAAGATGGGCTGCCTCTTCCCCCCACCTGAGCCCTCATCTATTAGAAATGGGACAGAGGTGTTCATTCATATTCCCATTCTAAGACAAAGACAGAATTCTTACCACAGCCCAAGTAACCTGTGCTCGGGCTGCGCTCCAGGCTGAGACTGTAGCTGGGAGGTACTTCCTAACCCTAACCCATGGGCAGCATTCTGCCTTTCATCACTGTTTCCAAAAGGAGCTTTGCATCTTGGAACCTTCTTACCATTTCTAGAAAATTGTCAGTGCAGAGTATCCAGGCCTTAACTGATGTCAAAGAGTCATTTTAAAAAATCTAGAGTCAAATTGGAAGGGAAAAGTAAAACTGCCATTAGAATACTATGTCCACTTGGGTGAAATAAAGGGAATTGGGTGAAATTGATGAACATTTGAATTAGGCTTGAGATATCCTTGTTTCTCCTTGGTTGCTCAGCCATGGAAATGGAGTCCACTAAGCAAGGGCAGCCCCCTCCTTAGTCCCTAGGGAGGCTCATACTGCAGAGCTCCATGGAGCCTTGAGTTCTCACTCAGGCTGTACCACTTTGTAATAAGTCTTCTCTGACTGGCACCTCGATATATGGTGCATCCAGTCAGAAGACCCTCTTCATTGTCCTTCTAAGCTGAGTGCTTCTGTGGTCTCTGTGAGAGCAGTCACACGGTGATTTGATGCATTAAACTGGACAGCCCTGTAAATCTCTTCCTGTGAAAAGTGGGGGTGAGCAGTGCTTGGCCATAAACACATGCCTGCAGCATGATGGGTCTTTCCAAGGAGAACTAGACCTGTGTGTTTTCCCTAGATTGCTGAAGGAACCTAGAAGAGAAGGCTTAGATGCCCTGCATGTGAGGCTGTAACCACTCACTATCCCACCTCCAGCTCAGCATCCTTCAAAAGACCCGATACAGGACCAGTGATGTTGGTTCTCTTCCTCCCTTTATTGATTCCTCTGTTTCTGCCTATTAGGAAAGAGGCTATGAACCAAAAGAAAAAAAGCAAGGGCGTTAACTGCAGCTTTACCATTTTCTCTTCACTTTCGTTATTCCCCTTAAAAGGATTGGGGAACAAAGAACTGTAGTCACATTTAGAAGTTGCCTTGCACAAGGCCATGGTAAGGAACAGCTCGATGTAGATACGCCTTGTGTCTGCCTTTGTGGTCATCAGGAACCCACCCACCCCTGTGTTAATTTCATCTTTTTCTCTTCTGTTGGACAAATGCATTGTCGTTGTCACCAGCAGCAGATTTGGCCCTCTATCCCAGCCTGGTCTACCAGCCCAATAATGCACAGGCCAGCAGGAGTGTTTATCTCAAGGTGACACCTGCAGTGGCTGACTGCTGCACTTCTTAATCCGTTTATGCAGTGCTTCCTCTTTGCTTGCAGTTGCTGGCAGGGCTTTAGCAGCAATAAAAATGGTTCCTTTCCCAAGACAGAGTTCATTCGATTTAAACTGGATTGATTATAGCTAAACTTATGACATGGCTTTACAAAGGAAGAAAAAACAGCAATAAATTATGCACAGTGATTATTTAGCATTTATTGAGTTCCCACGGTGTCCTGGGCTCAGCACACAACTGCTGGGAATAAACCACTGCCCTTGAGAATCAAAGCGCAGCTGTCTATCTGAAAAGGCACTCAGGGCAGCCCATCAATCCAGGTGCCATTTAACTCCCATTCAAGGGTCACCTGGCCATGTGGCCACTCAGCATTACTCTCAGGGAAGTTTTCTGACGTTATGGAGTTAATGCACTGTTGGCCCATATCTGTGTATTCTCTTAATTTTCTCTCTCTCAGAACCATTGTACTCATCCCTGGCTTTTGACCTGTGCCCTGGGGTCACTCCTTCCTGCTCCTCAGTTTTGTGTTAAGACTAAGGCATTGGCTGAGGCTAGAGTGCCAGTGAGGATGGCATTGGCTGCCAGGGCATCTGCCACGGTCCTCCCGTGGTAGCCTGGTTGGGGCACAGGGTAAGCTGCTAAGAGTGGGCACCAGGGTTTCTTCGAACTAGTACGTTACTTGTGTGTGCATCAATCAGAGAATTAGATGCAGATTTTGAATACCCTTTAAAATGTAAGTGATGCAGAAATTATGCAAGCAAATATGTATAGTTGGCTTCTGTTCTGTTGCTGTAATAAAAACCCGGACACCAAGCAACTTGGGGAAGACAGCTTTGCTTTGGCTCAAGGTTTGACCTTATGGTCCATCACTGTGGGAGCCACAGCAGTAGGAGCTTGAGGAGGCAGATGCTCACACTGCGTCCTCAACAAGCAGTAAACACTGAGGCTCACATCACATTTTTCATTTTATGCAGTCCAGGGTCCCTGCTCATGGAATGTTTCCACCCACATTTTAGATAGACCGTACCTTATCAATTAATCCTCACAAGAGTGCCTGGAAACCTGTCTGACAACACTAACCATCACAGTGACTTAGATTTGGAAGTTTGGTATAACATTCTTAATTCATAGTAACCCCTATTCAGCATACTCCTTAATAATTATTTATAAAAAGAGAAATAGAGAGGGAAAAAACTGGCATTTTCTTTCCTTGTTTTAACCATCTACTATTAAAAGGGGAGACAATGAAGTGAATTAAGATAAAGCATATTAGCCAGCACCCATCATATAACATATTAGCTAGCACCCATCATACAACATATTAGCCAGCACCCATCGTATAACAGGTCCACTCTTTCAACCTTTGGAATATTTAAATGCGTTGGAGGAGGAAGCAGATGCTCCACTGAAAGGAGACATAAGGTAAAGTCACATCCTCACTGAAGAGCAGGACACTGCTGCCACCTAGGATTCGATGCACACACACGCACCTTGCTGGCCCCACCTGGGGCCACAGACACACACACACACACACACACACACACGCACACGCACAAACATACACACACACACACCTGTTTGTCTTACTGTGTCGTTCTCACTTATAGTTTGATTGGTTTGGGAATTACAATAAAAAAACCTTTTTTTCACACTGCTTATCTGTAAATAGTTCAGTGTCAGAAATCATTAGACATTGGAGCAAATCTAATGTTACCCTTATATGATTCAGATTATTATTTAGTGGGACTTGGGGTGTGTTTATTTTTAAGATAAAGGCAATTATTATAAATTGCCAAATGTTTCATTTTCCTACCTCTGAGCCGTTTTATTTATTTCTTTCTTTTTGCGTCATTTAAGGTACCAAGGCAAAGTAATCCCAGCACTCTGCAGGTGGGTGAATCAGGAGTTCAGTCACTTTCAGCTATATAACAAGTTCCGGGCAAGCCTGGGCTACACGAAACCTGTCTCAAATATGTTACACATGCACAGGTCATAGGAAATTTCAGCAAAGATTCAAAATTTCACCTAGTGATTTTGTTGTTATTTTGATTATGCAGGTTCAAAAGGGAAATAGGATTTTTCCAACCGCAGTAAGATCCCAAGGACAAGTTTACCACCTGCATTAGGTTTCTCTGAGATCAGAAGCTTTGCTTATGCGTGTGTCTGCGCACGAGCTCACTGCCTGTGTATCTTTGTCCACAGTGGACCTGGACAGGCTCAATGATGATGTCAAGCGTTACAGTTGCACTCCCAGGAATCACTCTGTCAACCTCAGGGAGGAGCTAAAGCTGACCAATGCAGTCTTCTTCCCACGGTGCCTCCTCGTGCAGCGCTGTGGGGGCAACTGTGGCTGTGGAACTGTCAACTGGAGGTCCTGCACCTGCACCTCGGGGAAGACGGTGAAAAAGTACCATGAGGTACGTAATCTTCAGGGTCATTCCAGCGCTGTAAGCAGCCGCTCTATCCGCATCATCTCGCGTCTGTGAGGTCGTGGGAGACTACGCCACTTAACATGGTTGGTCCAGGGGTTGGAGGGATGACTTAATGGATAAGAGTACTTGCTGGCCTTACGAAGGATCCTGGTTCCATTCCCAGACACACGTGGTAGCTTACAACTGCAATTTTACACCGTATGCCGAGGATCCAGTGCCCTCTTCTGACCCCCCACAGACATTGCACAAGAAGAAGCACATACAGGCACACAGGCAAAATGCTCACGCACATATAATGAAATCTCTACAAAGAAATATGGTTGGTCAGTTGCTCACCCAGTCAAGGGTGTGGTTGGGAGCTAAAATTCTACCAAGCTAATTCCATCCTAAAGAAGGAATTCCTGATTTAGCCTTCACAGTATACATGTGGGTAGACAACAGTGTGTTAGATTATATAACTGTGTATTGACAGGGACTTTTCAGATCCTCTTCATCCAACTTGTAGAGAAATCTGGTATTTATTTACAGGCTATCAACGTTAAATTTAGGTGGCTGCAAAAAAAAATACTAAGGACCAAATTTTCTTTCAATGGAATCATACTTGCAAGAAAAAAAAAAGCAAGGAGTAAAAATGTAAATTGTCAGAGACCTATTCATTCTCTAAATGTTGAAGTACTTTGGAGATTTAGCCCTTGGATTGTTAAAGAAGTAAAAAGTAAGTGTAAAGATCAACGTTTGTAGCAACGAGAACACAGCTGCCCGAGCTCCGGGGTAGCCAGGGCTGTGAGATGTATTAGCTCACCGAGCAGCTCACCAGCCTGCTGTCCAGGGATGCCCTCTCTGTTGTATTCATAGATAGTGATCCGATGCTGACAGATGCTTAAGAGGTGAGTCATCCGTGGAACTGCGTTTAAAAATACTAACATGTGACGCAGATGTTGCCACTGGGCAGCTTTGGGTGCTAAGGAGGTGTTTTATGGGCAGTCTTGCATGGTGGCTGTGGTAGTTTAAATGTAATTGGTCCCCACAGCTCATATGGAATGACACTAATATCAGATATAGCTTTGTTGGAATAGCCTGGTTGGAGGAAGTGCGTCACTTTGGAAGCAGGTTTTGAGGTCTCATGTGTGCTCAGGCATTTAGATCACTTTCGGTCGCCTGCAAGTCAAGATGTAGCCAGCTCCCCACCATGATGATAAAGAACTAAACCTCTGAAACTGTGAGCCACCCCCAATGGCATGTTTTCCTTTATAAGAGTTGCTGAGCTCTTGGTATCACTTGACAGCAATAGAAACCCTGACTAACACAGTGGTTAATCATGAGGACCTCAATCCAAAGACCAGCAGAAAGGAGGTATCTGAAAATAAGACTTGCAGATTTGGAGGTGCAGGTGTGAGAGCTGGATTAAGTTTGTAATGTCAGCATTTGAGAGGCAGGGCAATTTCTGCAATTAGAAGTCCGTGTAGGCTATATAAAAAGTCCCAGTCCCTGATCAAAACAAACACACAAAAAGATAAAACAATAAGTCCCAGACCTTGATCAAAACAATCAAAAACAAAGGATAAAACACTTTACAGCAGGTACTTTTGGGGTTGCTGTTGTTGTTATAGTGATTTTCTGTCTGAAAACAATGAAACACTAAATTTTAGGTAACTTCTGAAGGAAAACAAATCTGAGCCCATTAGCACATTGCTGCTTCATCCTGGGAGAGACAGGTCCTAGAACAGTGGCTAAGCGTGATTCCCGGAAGCAGAACTTACCATTTTACAACCACACAAAAAACATTTGATGGGTCTTAAGAATAGTTGGCTCCACCCCACTGCCCTCAAAGGAAGGTAAAAGCTGTTGTTGTATGACAGAGTGCCATCGCCTGTGTTCGTTGTGTTTTGGGTATGAACTGATGAACCCCAGATTGGCAGTTGTCCTTCAGTCTCAGAATGTCAGTTTTGTGATGTTTACCAAAAAGATAAATGTGGGGTTCAATAATTGGTGGGAGCTAAAACTCTCCTGGAAGTATTGAGGTCTCCCGTGCAGTGACTAAGGGCAATGGTGTGCATGCCTGGCCTTGATGTCTTTCTGGACCGCTTTCCTTTTATCTTGACTCTAGAGGAAGAGGTTTCAGCTTGACTTTTTTTTTCCAAGCTCCTTATTCTGGAAACTCCTGAAATGAGCCCTGTATCACAGACAGTTGGGTCTGTGTAATCTGAAGCCTCCAGACATCATTCTCACATTAGTTCCTCTATTGTCTCTGTACACTGCAACAACCAGCCTACGGCTGCTTTTCACAATTAATGAGAAAGAGGAAAGCCCTTGATCCCTTTGTTTGGTTGTGAGGTATAAAACATCAGTGTTCTTTTGGAAATGCAGTGTATAGCATCTCATTCAAACACAGGTCATAATATTTTTACAGCTAAGGCTCTGCAGAGTCCTATATGAAATGACCCTGCCAAACGCAGGACAAAAGCACCCAACAGCATCAATCACTCAGTTAGTGACAGACACCTGAAACAAACACGCCTGTCAACTTCCCCTCCAACTGCCAAAATGTGTCCTGATGGTCACTGTCAGGTGCTCTGTGGAGAGCGGCAGAGAACTTCCAATTCCAGAAACAGGCATAGTTTGATCCTCATCTCATTAGGAGAGAATGGAAGCCCTATATTTTATATTCTATATTCTATTCTATTAGTTCTGGGCCTGTATTCTTACCTCTGCTACATTAAAGGCAGCTTCCCCGGTCCAAGCTTGCAGCTGATGAGATGTGAAATGAGTTTCTATGAGAGATGATGGCCTTAAGGGATTAAGAGCCTGTATGCTTCTCCACAAGTATCTCAGTGCTAGCCGTCAGAGATAAGAATGAATAATTAGAAAGCTCTGGGTGAAACGTCACTTTTACACAGGCCATGACACTTCCCTCGTAGTGGGGTGAGCATCTTCAGTGCAGAACAATGTTACTTCTGCTTTCAGACTTCAGGATTAATGGATGATAGTGCTTACTGTGTAATCCTGAGGACCTGGGTTCAAATCCTTGCACCCATATAAAACCTGGGTGTGACCATATATGCCTGTAAGCCCCATCACTGTGACAGGTGGAGATGGGGGACTCACTGGGCTTGCTGGCTGGCAGCCCAGCTCCATATTCAATGAGAGACCCCTCTCTGCACAAAAGAGTGGCAGAGCAGGACACCAGAAGTCTTCAATCATCTACATGTAGATGTCCACAGGCATATATAACACAGACATATACACACATACATGCATGCACACATATGTGCATACAAAGTAAAAAATTTTTTTTGAGTTTTGTAGGTTTCCTAATTGATCTTTCATAGCAATCCTCCCATTCATCTTTGAACACGTAGTGTAAAACTGGAAAAACATCATTTCCTCTACTCTTTCTGAGTTTGTGACTTGAGGCCACCCTAATAAGAGAGGCAATAGCAGACACACATATAGATTTAATATGTCTCACATGTAAGGAAATGAAGACCCCAGCAAACACATCAACCTGAGTGGGCTTCTGTGTAGCCGGCCTGATGGAGGGCCGGTAGAGAGGCGGTGTCGGGGTGTGAATCAGCGCTGATGAGAAAAGCCCTCTCTCTGCCTGTCTTCTGCCGTCTTCTCTTCTTCCCTCCGTCCAAAAGACAACAGTGCTTTCTTCATCAGAGTAAAAAGGGCCCACGGCTCACTCGAGGCTCTCTTCTTCCATCAAGACACCGGGCACACATGAGGTTTTCTCCTCCTGCTTCATGGGGTCCATGACCTGTTTCACAGGAGACAGCTGAGAGCGTCTGTAAAATGGCTTCTGTCCTTCCAAAACATACTTAGGGTAGTGACTCTTTAAAAGCAAGGCTCGGTTCATCCAGCGCCTGACGGAGACAGATGCAGACCCACAACCAAACGTTAGGCAGAGCTCAGGAATCAAGTTGAGGAGAGGAAGGAAGGAATACAGGAGCCAGAGGAGTCAGGAACATCACAAGAAAACCCACAGAATCAGCTAACTGGGTTCACAGGGGCTCACGGAGACTGAACTGACAACCAGGGGACCTGTGTGGGACTGGCCTAGGCCCTCTGTGTATATGTGACAGTAGTGTAGCCTGGTCCTCTTGTGGGACTCCTAACAGCGGAAGCAGGGGCTGTCCCTGACTCTTTTACTGGCTTTTGGGACCCTACTCCGCATACAGGGTCACCTTGCCCAGCCTTAATACATGGGGAAGTGCTTAGTCTTACTGCAACTTGATATGCCCTGTTTTGTTGATATCCACGGGAGGCCTGCCCTGTCCTGAGCAGAAATGGAGGAAGAGTGGACTGTGGGTGGAAACAGAGGAGGGGTGGAGGGGCAGGACTGTGGGGGGGGCTACAACCAGTACGTAAAATAAGAGAGAAAGAAAGGAAGAAGGAAATAAAGAAAGAAAGGAAGAAGGAAAGAAAGAAAGAAAGAAAGAAAAGGAAGGAAGGAAGAAAGAAAGAAAGAAAGAAAGAAGGAAAGGAAAAAAGGAAGGAAGGAAGGAAGGAAGGAAGGAAGGAAGGAAGGAAGGAAGGAAGGAAGGAAGGAAAAAAACCAAGGCCCGGGGCTGGGATTCTAGCTCATTGGCAGCGTCCTTGCCTGGCATTGTCAGGTCCTAGGTTCAATTCCACTACCACCAATAAATAACAATAGCAATATAATTCAATGATATTATTTCACTTCTCCCTTTCATAATGAATCATGACTATTTGTCATTGTTTAGCCTCTAGGACACAGCCACTGAGTCAATAGACAAAAAACTTAGGGGACAGCAAACAAATATATTTTTTATCTGTTTTCTCTGTCCTTCCCCTATTGATACCATCGAGATGTTGTGTGTTAATGAGGGCCTCTCCAGAGGAACAAGAGTGATAAGGGTTGTGCTTCTCTTTCTCTCTCTCTCTCTCTCTCTCTCTCTCTCTCTCTCTCTCTCTCTCTCTCTCTCTCTGTGTGTGTGTGTGTGTGTGTGTGTGTGTGTCAG